CGCTGAGCCTTTTTTTTTTTTTTTCTTTAAGAGACAGGGAGGGCTCACTTTGTTGCCCAGGTGATCTTAATTCTTGGTCTCATGTTGTCCTCCTACCTCAGTCTCCAAGAGTGTTGGGACTACGGGTGTGAGCCCCCATGCCCGGCCAAACTTAAAGTTGTCAAGGACAAGCATACCTAACCCTATACAAATTAGGAATGTTGAGAACCACTGCTCTACAATGTAATTTAAAAACTTGATTTTGGGCTCAATGTCTATAGCTCAAGTAGGTAGAGCACCAGCCACATACACTGGAGCTTATGGGTTCAAATCTGGCCTGGGCCTGCCAAACAATGACACCTACAACAAAAAGCCAGGAGTTGTGGCAGGCGCCTGTCGTCCCAGCTACTTGGGAGGCTGAGGCAAGAGAATTGCTTAAACCCGAGAGTTTCAGGTTGCTGTGAGCCATGACTTTATGGCACTCTACCGAGGGCAACATAGTGAGACTCTGTGTGAAAAACAAAACATCAAAAAAAACTTGATTTTGTTGAAACTAAAATGTAATGTGTATTTCTTGACTTGTTTTGTGTTAGATACTGGGTTGAATGAATACAAGAAATGGTTAAATAACAATTTATTAGTTTGACTTTGGAAGAGCTGTGTTATTAGGATAATCTGGATAACTCACAAACAAAAACATCTGGTCTTTATGACTATGAAACTGTCCTAACACAATCCAGAGCCTTTCTTCCTAGGTACATCATTCCTTCAGCACTATTTTACAAAGTTCTTTCTTGTAATACAGAGCAGTTCTGGGCAATACAGAACAAATATAATAGGACAAACATGAGACTTCTTCAAATACGTGCAAAGTTTTTATATCCTCAGAGTTTTCTCTTTATTAGTCTTAATATCCTTAGTTCTTTCAGTCTTCATTTACATAATGTGGCTTGCTTCTTTGCCTTACTAGTTATAGCCTCTTAAACTATTGCATTTTGGCCATTTGCTTTTTTTTTTTTTTTGAGACAGAGTCTTACTATGTCACCCTCAGTAGAGTGCCATGGCATCACAGTTCAAAGCAACTTTAACTCTTGGGCTTAAGTGATTCCCTTGGCCTTAGCCTCCCAAGTAGCTGGGACTATAGGCACCTGCCACAATGCCCAGCTATTTTTTGTTGTAGTTGTCATTGTTTGGCAGGCCCAGGCTGGATTTGAACCCACCAGCTCTGGTGTATGTGGCTGGCACCTTAGCTGCTTGAGCTACAGGTGCCAAGCCCACCCAGCTATTTTTTGATGCAGTTGTCATTGTTGTTAAGCTGGTCCAGCTGGGTTTGAACCTACCAGCCTCAGTGTATGTGGCTGGCGCTCTAACCACTGTGCTACGGGCACCGAGCCTGCCCATTTGCTTATTTAAAGAATGCCACCTAGAACTGAAAAATTATGAAAACTTATTATTGTGTACTTAGCATGTGCCAGATCCTGTTCTAAGCATTCCATACATATTACTTTGATTTTAATCTTCAACATCCCCTCTGTGGTAGGTTAATATTTATTGTTCTGGGATGGTGGGGTCACGGTGTATGGCATATCTCTTGGGGGCGGGACACAATTATTAGAGGGACTTTTTTTTTTTTTGGCTGGGGCTGGGTTTGAACCTGCCACCTCCAGCATATGGGGCTGATGCCCTATTCCTTGAGCCACAGGCGCCACCCTATTAGAGGGACTTTATCTAACAAATGTAATCAGTGTAACCTAGTGCTTTGTGCCTTCAGTGAATCCCAAACAATACAAAAAAAAATTTATTATTCCCCGTTTTGCAGATGAGAAAACAGACACAGAGAAGTTAAGTATAATACTCAAGACCACAAAGCTAGGAAGTACAGGTTAATAATAGGCAGGCAACCTGTCTCCAGAATCCTACTTTAAAAAAATAAAAAGCTTTTGAGATATAATTCATATATACAATTAATCAATGTAAAGTATACAGTTTCATGGTTTTTAATATATGCACAGATTGTACAACTATCGCTACAGTCAATTTTGGAACATTTTTGTCACCCCAGTGGAAAACCTTGTAGTCAGTAGCAGTCAGTCCCTATTGTCTATTTGTTGAATAAATCCTTAGAAGTATAATTGCTACAAAGATATTTATTTCTAAAATTTGGAAAATATTGTCAAATAATCTATTCACAAAATTATAATAATTTATATTTTGATCAACAGTTTAAATGTTATTTCCCCAACAGAAGGGTCTTTAATATAGTTTTTGTTTTTGTTTCTTTGTTTTTTTTTGAGATAGAATCTCAAGCTATTGCCCTGGGTAGTGCCCTGGCATCATAGCCCACAGCAACCTCCATCTCAGGCTCAAGCGATCCTCTTGCCTCAGATTTTCTGTTTTTAGTAAAGACGGGGTCTCATTTTTGCTCATACTGGTCTTCATCTCCTGAGTTTAAGCAGTCCACCCACCTCGGCCTCCCAGAGTGCTAGGATTACAGGAGTGAACCACGGCACCCAGCCTTTTAATGTAGTTTTATATTCATTGAGCCACCAATGCCCTATTTAAAAATCTGGGTCACTTAATGGAAACATAGCACTTTTTATGGCAAGAGAGAGAGTTTTTTTGTTTTGTTTTGTTTCCAGACATTCTTACTCTGTTGCTGTGGGTAGAGTGCCATAGTGTCATCATAGCTGACAGTAACCTTAAACTTTTGGGCTCAACAGATCGTCTTGCCTCAGTTTTTATTTATTTATTTTTGAGACCAAGTTTCACTTTGTCACCCTTGCTAGAGTGCTGTGGCATCATAGCTTATAGCAACCTCAAATTCCTGGGCTTAAGCGATCTGCTTGCCTCAGCCTCCCAAATAGCTGGGACTACAGGAGCCCACCACAACTCCTGTCTGTTTTTAGAGATCAGGTCTTGCTCTGGCTCTGGCTAGTCTCAAACCTGTGAGCTCAGGTAATCCACCTGCCTCAGCCTCCCAAGTGCTGGGATTACAGACGTGAGCCACTGTGCCCGGCCCTCAGTTTTTCTACTTTTAGTAGAGACCAGGTCTCGCTCTGGCTCAGGCTCAGGATGATCTCCAACTCCTGAACTCAAGCAACCTGCCCACCTCAGCCTCCCAGAATGCTAGGATTATAGATGTGAGCCACCTTGCCTGGCAGTGGCAGAAATATTTTATACTAATTTAGTTATTTATGCTAAACAGCTCCTCACTTACAAAAACTTTCTCTTTTTGTATTAGAAAGTTAATTTTCATGCTGGGTTCAGTGGCTCATGCCTATAATCCTAGCACTCTGGGAGGCCGAGGTGGGCAGATAGCTTGAATTCAGGAGTGAAAACCAGCCTGAGCCAGAGCGAGACCCCATCTCTAAGAATAGCTGTGTTGTGGCAGGCGCCTGTAGTCCCAGCTACTTGGGAGGCTGAGGCAAGAGAATCGCTTAAGCCAGTGGTTCTCAGTCTTCCTAATGCCGCAGTGTATTTTCATTGTTAAAAGGGGGTTGCGACCCACAGGTTGAGAACCACTGGTTTAAGGCCAAGAGTTTGAGGTTGCTGTGAGCTGTGATTCCACTGTACTCTACCTAGGGCAACATAGTAAGATTCTGTCTCCAAAAAAAAAGAAAGTTAATTTTCTAAGTATATGTACAGTATGGTATCCTGAATTGGATTCTGGAACAGAAAAAGGACATTTGTGAAAAAACTGGTGAAATCCAAATAAAATTTATAGTTTTAGTTGACAGTATGTATCAGTTTTGATAAATACACTGTAGTTATATAAGATGTTAACATTGAGGAAAAGTGAGTGAAGGACATATGGGACTCTGTATGGCAGGTAGTCCCCAGGTAACAAACAATAACTGGTTCTGTAGGTTTCTTCTCAAGCTGAATTTGTATGTATGTTGGAACCGGTACATTTGATAGCCTTCATAAGTGTAAGACACAAATAGATCAGTTTTATGTTTGTAACTGGGGGACTCACTAGAATAGCCTCCATTCAT